TACGTGGGATGAACAGATGGTGAGAGGACTGAGGACACTTGCAGAAAGGAGTCCTGTGTCTTGCCAGCATCATTTCTGCCGACTTTTCTCTGAGATTTTGAAGAAAGTTATTTAGAAATTGAGCATAAATAGGAATAGCGTTGTCTGTACTCGAAATATCATTATATATATATATATATATATATATATATATATATATATATATATATATATATATATATATATATATATATATATATATTGTTCGAGGTTTCCACTCATTTTTATATCAGTATTTCATATATATAGTATCTTGAGCTAACCTCTAGTTCTTTTTGTTTATATCCTCTGGGGAATAGATTGCAGACAAGGCAAAAGAATAGAAATTCAGTATTTTCTCAGTATATATTTTCATATATATGTATGTACACCACAAGTAATAACAAATAGAAACGATCACGAAAGTACTATTCCAGCCCGGGGTCAAGCGGCCCGGGGTCACGCGTAGCCAGGGTACTGTGGACCGGGATATTGTGGACCGGATATTATGGTCCAGGGTAAACAGCCCAGGGTACGTATCCAGAGTTATGCAGGTAGCGCGTGATGCAGCCAGAAATACAGGCACTGCTTGTAGACAGATGCGGCCTGGTATTCGTCCACCTTTTATGCAAGTTAAGGAGGCTGGAAACAAGAACCCAATTGAATTGATAAAATAATAAAGTCACTTTGTAATTGTCACTAAAGCACTTAAGTTTACGGTACGTCACTTCACTTTCACGTACAATTTTAACAAATAAACATATATATACAGTATAGAATCTACTTACAATGTTATCGGTGTGGAGTTCGGAGCCAAGTGGCTGACCATATAACGGCGACCACCGACTATGGCTTTCTTCAAGCTCGAAGCAACGTAAATGGGTCGTCCGGGTAAACCAAATGGTTCGTTCACGCACACAAGCAAGCACGCACTCACACTTCGCACACCAAAACAACAAAATTAAGAGAAACCAACACCAAACCCTGTACAAAGCCCCCCATTTTGACTTAAAATCATACGATTTTAAGTGAAAGTGGGGTTTCACTTAAATTACCTTGTGATATATACAATTAACTTACACTGAGCGTCGACTAAGAATGTCTGCGCCAACATTATCTTGACCTCTGATATACTCTATCGTAAATGCATAAGACTGGAGAGCCAGTGACCAACGCATAAGACGACCATTGCTGTTCTTCATGTTTCTGATGTATGTTAACGGTTGTTGATCGGTTTGCAAGACAAACTCGCGGCCATAAAGATAACACCAGAACTTTTTAATAGCCCAGACGATAGCTAAAGCTTCTCTTTCTATTACGGCATAACGCCCTTCCGAGTCAGAGAGCTTTCTACTCGCATAAGCGATTGGCATGAGAACATTATCAACATTCTGTAGCAACACCGCCCCAAGACCTGTGTCGCTGGCGTCTGTTCGGAGATAAAAAGTCTTTTCATAGTCAGGCAGAGTTAAGATTGGTGCATTGGCTAACATATCCTTTAATTCGTCGATTCTCTTATAATGATCAGGAGTTAAATTCAGCTTATTAGGAGAAAATTTTTTCAGAAGAGAGTTCAAAGGGTGTACGAGGTCAGCTAAATTAGGAATGAACTTCCGATAGAATGAAAGCGTTCCAAGGAAACTTAGTAGTTGTTTCTTGGTTTCTGGCATCGGCATATTTTTGATTGCCTCAACCTTATCTGGAAGGGTACTCAAGCCCTTCTCACCAAGATTAAATCCAAGATATTTAATATTGGGAAAAGCTAGAAAACATTTACTAGGCCCAGCAGTTAACCCGTGCTCACGCAATCTTTCCAGAAGATTCCTTATGTGAATCAAGTGCTTACGAAATGACGAGCTATGTACCACCAAATTATCAAAGTAGCACTCTACATTCGTCAAACCTGCAGTAACTTTACGCATTAATCTGATGAAACTGGCACACGCCGTGCGTAAACCAAACGGAAGTTTATTGAACTGCAGAAGTCCGTATTTAGGAGTAGCAAAAGCAGTGTACGATTTTGCCTTCTGAGATAAAGGAATTTGCCAATAGCCTTTACAAAGATCTAATTCAGTGAAGTAAACGTCTCCCACAAAATTACCTAATGCTTCATCCATCGTTGGCATTGGTTCTGCGTCGAAAACACTCACGTCGTTCAGAGCCCTAAAATCTACGCAAAAGCGCCATGAATTATCGGCCTTTTTAACTAGCACAACGGGTGAGCAATAGGGAGATGTAGAATGTTCAACAACGCCTAAAGCTAACATTCTATCCACTTCCTCATCAAAAGCTTTTCTGAGATGATGGGGAATAGGGTACGGCTTAGTATGAACAGGGGCAACTGTTGACAATTCAATGTCATGTATGACCGTGCTAGTTACACCTGGTTTATCTGAGAATACGTCAGAGAATTCAGCTACTAGCTGTTTTAACTCTGCTGTCTGCTTACTCGACAGTTCAGGATTAATGTTTACTGTACATTCATTAGCCTCGTACAAGTCAGGAATATCGCAAGCAAAACTCGCTTTTTCCTCTGACGTTGGAAGATCGTCTACGACGCACACCTGGCATACTTGCGAAGATGAAACATCGTCACGCCTCACATATTTCTTAAGCATGTTTAGGTGATATAATCTCTTTTTCGTATTAATCTTTACCTCGTAGTCTACGCCGTTATCGTGCTTCCTCACTACCGAATAAGGTCCCTTCCACTGCATTGTTAACTTGTTGTGAGATGTTGGCAGCAAAACAAGTACTTCGTCGCCTTCGTTTAATTTGCGTACTTTAGCACTTCTGTCAAAATAGGCTTTGTACATTTTACCAGAAACATCTGCATGGGATGAAGCCAACTGAGCGGATTCCTCTAATCGGGATCGCAAATCAAGAACGTATTGATAAGTGCTTTTAATCTCATCATTAAGGTCATCTCTGGTCCATAGATCGTGAAGAATGGACAGTGGACCGCGCACTTTGCGACCGTACAGCAACTCAAATGGACTGAATTTCAGAGTATCGTTAGGAACCTCGCGGTACGCGAATAGAACAGACGGGATGTAGCGATCCCAATCGTGGGGTCGTTCTCCGCAGAGTTTTTTAAGCATGGATTTTAACACTGCGTGAAATCGCTCCACAGTTCCATTGCAGCAAGCATGATATGGACTTGTAAATAATGCCTTTATTGAGAGCATTCTGTTTATCTCTGCCATTAAATCCGATTTGAACTGGGTTCCGCGATCGGAAAGTATTTCTTTCGGTATTCCCACACGCGAAAAAATACTTAGCAAAGCCTCTGCTACAGTGACAGTATCTATATTCCGTAAGGGCACTGCTTCCGGGAATCTAGTTGCTATGTCAATTAGCGTTAGAATATACTTATGTCCTCTGCTAGAAGCAGGTGTGATCGGCCCCACAAGATCAATTGCAACCCTGGCAAAAGGCTCGCTTATTATCGGCATCTGAACCATGGGTGCTCTCCCTATTTTACCTTTAGGAGACGTCTTCTGACACACGTGACATGAACGACAGTACCGTTTTATTTCCGCTCCCGCACCTGGCCAGAAAAATTTATGAAAAATCTTGTCAGCGGTTTTCCTGTGAGAAAAATGACCTGCCACAGGAGAGTCATGAGCGGTTGAAAGAATTAAATTTACAAACTTACGAGGTACTACCAACTGCTTAACGCCTATTTCATGATTGTGCTTGCTTTTAACGCACACTCGGTAAATTAAGCCTTTCACAATTTCGTATCTAACAGAACGATTCTTTACATTTACTAGAGATTTACTTCTTACTTTATCTCTGATGTTTTCGAGAGAAGAACATTCAGTCTGAGCACTCAGAAAATCATCCTTAGATACACTATTAAACTGAAAATGAGGAATCGTCAGTTTTGCTGGTTCGGCATCTTCCTTTATTTTAGCAGCCCTCGTAACAACTGCATTAACAACATCCGCGTTACCGATATCTGTGCGGGGAGAATTTACCGATATGCTAAGGTTAGGGTTATTCACGGATGGCACTGAGACACCCGGCACCATACCTACAAGAACATCGGTGAACTTAATAGGAGCAGCAACAACGTTGTACCACCCATTCAAAAATTCGCTCTTTATAAGGCAACGCACAGTTGGAAAAGTCCGGCCCACTCCCAGGTAGTCGTACAGAGTGACCATTTTCCCTCGCTTGGCCGTGGCGGGGATGAGCGATTCCTTAACGATGATAGACGAACAGCCAGAATCAAAGAGTACATGTACGGGTCTATTATATAACATTCCCTCACACATGATGCTATTGTTGGGAGAGAGGTCAGAGTCAAACACAAAGTTGACCCTCTGAGAGGATTTGCTTTTACCAAGCATTAAGTCAGGGCAAGAAGGACGTATATGACCTGGCTTGGAACAGTGGTGACACACGATCTTATCCCTAACGCCAGATTTTGTACCGTTCTTTGTATCAGGATCTTCCTTGATAGGCATTTTACGGATTTTGGTAGATTTGTGTGCACTACGAAACCTATCGGCTGCTTGCGCCATGTCAAGAGTAGTTTCAAAAACTCGCTCCTTAAGAAAAACGCGAAGTTCAAACGGACAATTGCTTAACATTTGGTCGCGAACTAAGAAGTCAAACAGCTCCTCGTAGTTCTTCGTGACGTCACTCATGGTTAGCCAGTTATCTAAATACCTAATCAGCCGAGACATTAACTGTACGTACGTCTCGTTTTCACCCACCTTACTCTCCTTAAACTTCTTACGGTAGGAATCAACATCAACATTATATCCTTTCAATAACGCGTCTTTTAACAACTCGTAATTTACTAGAACGTCATCCGGCAGACTTACGTATATCTTCAAGGCTTTACCCCCCAACAGAGAACCTAAGTATACATGAAAATTCTGCGAATTCCATCCCTGTAAACAAGCTAGTTTTTCGAATCTGCGTAAATAATCGTCTATGTCATCCTTACTGTCATCAAACTTAGGCAT